AAACTAGTTGTTTGACCTTTTTTTAAACTTGAAATCGACGGAAATGTGAAAGAAATTGAAATGAATCTTCATAATCTGAGTATCGAAGTTCAATAGAGTCATTTTTATAAAGAAATGTTGCAATTAAGAGGATATTTATAAATATCAAATAGCTCGTATCCATTGATATTCGTTTGCAATTTCCAGGGACGCCGGAAAGTCGATAATTGGGGGAGGGGGGCAGATATTCATATATTCGTGTTCACAGATTGTAAAGACAATCGCTTTCAAAGGAAATAAATGATGCAGAACATGAATATATGAATATCTGCCCCTCCCCCCCAATTATCGACTTTCCGGCGTCCCTGGCAATTTCTCAATATTTTTCGATGCAAATGGACAGAAGAAGATATTGATATTAAATTCACCCCAGGATACTCAAGTACGCCTGAAAATGAAAGTCGAAAACATGTTTTAACACCCCCGATAGTTGATCGAACTTCGCTACAAACGAATATATACGACGCCATATTGATTGCATTAACTCGCAGAGGCTTCTTTATTTAGCTCTTCCCGTCACTCCTTGCGCGCTCACTTTTCCCTCACTAGAAACCTCATGTAAGCCTCTGCGGAGGAGAGAGGGCAATTATCCTGATGTTGATAGGAAGTGGGAAACTTGAAAAACTCTTTTATTGGATGTTCTTGACAAGCATGCTCCATCAAAAGAAAAAAGGGTAAAAAACAAACCGAATGTGCCTTGGCTAACAAGCGAAATTAAACTACAAATTCGCGAGCGAGATCGTCTTAAACGTCTTGCAATTAAATTTAGTTCAGAAGATTATTGGAGTGCGTACAAAATCTATAGAAATAAAACAACGGATGTATTGCGTAAAGCGAAAGCTATTTACTACAAAAGGCAATTTGAAAATGCCAAAGATGATCCCAAAAAAGCTTGGAAAACTGTTAATAAAATCCTTAACCATGAAAAAAAGAGTAGTGATATTAACTGTATTAATGCCGAATCGAAAACCGTCAAATTCTAGTCCCCAATAAGTTGGCCGAATGTTTCAACTATTATTTCACTAATATTGGACTAGAGATCGCTAATAGTATTGATAGTAGCAATGTTAATTTCCGAGACAACATTATAAATACATCAGGTATATTTAATTTTCGAACTATTTCTGTATCGAAAGTTGATAAGATCCTTCGTCCGTTAAACCCTTGTAAATCCACAGGGATTGATGAAATTCCTGCCAAAATTATTCGAATTGCATCTCCTGTAATTGTAAAGTCGATAACGGAAATTTTTAATAGGGCAATTCTCTCCGAAGTTATTCCATCTGAATGGAAATCAGTTAGGGTAATTCCTTTGCATAAAAATGGTCCCAAAAATTTTATTAAATAATTATCGCCCTATTTCTATTTTGCCTGTATAAGTAAAATTATCGAAAATTAAGGTACTATATGAACAATTATATGACTGCTTTGTTTCTAATAATTTACTTTCTCGTCATCAGTTTGGCTTTACACAGTTTCATTCTACAGCATCTGCCCTTTTGGATGGAACCAATGAATGGTTTATCAACATGGACCGCGGTATGTTAAATATTTCAGTCTTTCTCGATTTAAGCATAAAGCTTAAGCTTTATGGCTTGGAACAACCTTCCATGAACCTTTTAAATTCATACCTTGCGAATAGAACCCAGCTATGCACTATTAATGGTGTCTTATCCGGCCCTAAGCCTGTCACGTGTGGAATTCCTCAAGGTTCAATTCTTGGCCCTCTTCTATTTCTAGTCTATATAAACGATTTACCCAGCTGTTTGGAATACGTTTTTATCGCCAAGAATCAAAGAATGTTTGCCGACGATACCACGTTAAAACTGTATCTGGTAAATCAATGCATGAAGTAGAGCAGGTCATTAGCCACGATCTTGCAAACGTTAAGCGGTGGCTCTCTTTTAACAAACTGTCCCTAAATCTGGTCAAAACTGAATACTTACTAATTGGATCACGGTATAATATCAATAACTTACTTACTGCCCCAAATGTTTACGTTGGAGATATACCAATTAGAAGGGTCATAAGAGAAACAAAGGCACTTGCAGTCTATATTGATGAATTTCTATCTTGGGAAAAGCATATTACTACAAATTGCTAAAAAAGCTTCGTCCAGAATTGCAGCGATCAGAAAGCTCAAATCTTGCATTGTGCATTATAGGTGCCTATAATGCACTTATAGCACCTCATTTCGATTATTGTTGTGAAGTTTGAGACATTATCGGCATTGTACTTCCTGACCGCTTGCAAAGATTACAAAACAGGGCTGCTAGAGTTATAACTGGTCGTATAAAGGAGCCATCCCTATAAACGAACATCGCCAGTCTGAACTTGCTCTGAATGAATTGGATGGAAGCCACTGAGCGAACGCAGGATCAAGTTCGTAGCAAATTCAATGTATAAAATTACGCGTAATCTAGCGCCAAAAACGTTAGCTGATATTTTTATACAGACGCCTCCCTCCCAATATTACAATTTACGAGGCTCTTCCACTAAGCTCTTTTTGCCTCACCCCACTCTGACGTTCTTAAAAAAGGTCTGAGTTGCAAAGGGGCAAAAATGTGGAATAGCCTCTCAGAAGAATTACGAACTAAGGATTCTCTTTATTCCTAATTTAATACTAATTTTACAATGCCTGGCCGGTAATCATATTATAATATTGTAGTTTTATTTAAATATGTAGTGTATATTATGTATAGTGTCTGATGTAAATATTTTTTTGTTATTTTTGTATGAATACCTACGCCCCCTTGGAAATCAGCTTTCTGCTGTAGGGTACGTTTAGCGTGGTGAAATAAAGTTTTACCTTACCTTACCTTATTTGCATTGTGTTTGTATTGAGTTAGACAAGCTCATTATCATATCTAATAACACCAAACAAAATGTGTGATTGGAAACATTCTCAGGGCTACTCGCAAAATACTAAAAAACCACGCCCTTGAAATGAGTTAATACCTCGCCACGAAAATTAAATTTTCCCAGGGCATCTTTGCACAACCGAAGGATTATTAATCCGCCTTTTTATACGATTGCTATACCACAGTACATCACGATGGTATCATTTACATTTAATTCACACTATCAAAGTATACCAAACCTCAGTGTATCAAAGGAAATACTAAGGCACTCACTTGGAGTGACTTATGTCCGGTGGGGGAAAAGACCTGTCCAAATACCGCAGCTACAATGGTTTATGAAGGTAACAATAAGATTGCATATACAATGCACATATATAAAAAGTTTTTATATGATCAATTGCCAACCCCAAATAAAATGCAAAGTTTAATAATACAAAGTGTCTCATGGACTAGAGTAACAAAGTTTCCCTGTTTCAGAATGAATAATATAGTAATTGAACTGAGTGGAGTAAAACTTGGACTGAAATCAAACGCAAAACTTTTAGGTTATGTCGGAGGAACTCATTGGATTCAAAGGGGCGGTGCATCTAATTACGTATGTTTGAGACGTGACCCGATTTATACACAATATCAATCTGGGTATCAATCGCGTATTTCCCGAATCTGTGGCACAGAATATCAAACGTACTCCACTGGCATATATCCCAGCAGCCTGCACGACCATGATGTCCCTTGTGCTGTGTGTCATGTTGCCAAACGTTCTTCACAAATGATGATACCAGGTCGTAATATATGTCCTGCGAGATGGACACGCGAGTACAGAGGGTACCTGATGTCAGAGAAACACGATCACCATCGTACAATGTATACATGCGTGGATGAATATCCTAATCACACGAGAGGAACCCACGCTGTTAATGGCGCTTTGTTTTATTTTGTTGAAGAAGAATGTGGCTCACTTCCCTGCAAGCCTTATATAGGAGAATGTGAGCTGACATGCGCAGTATGCTCTCGCTAAATATGAACTCATCTTTAACATGGCCAATTGTTGAACATCATTTATTGTCACAATCATTTATATATTATACTTAATTGCACATTTTATACGAACTCTTAGAAAGACACTCAACTTAAAATCAATAGACTTTTTGTCTCACTTCAGGCAAATAATAATATTAAAATGGTAATGTAATAATAATTAATAATGGTAATAATGTTGTAATATGTAATAAACATTGTAAACAGTGCACGTTGTCTCACCTTTAGAAAAATAATATGTGAGCAATAGTATAACCCCAATATTGCATATAAATCACAATTGCAGACTTAATTATTATAATTAAAAGCAACAAAACTTTAAAGGTGGTCTACAGTCCGTATGCAAACAAAGCCTTTGTTTACATTTTTTGTCCAAAATATTGAGCTTTATTCGACACTATTTATATTTTCAAGCTTCTAGAGTATAATAAATTATCAAGAAACAACAATTAGGCTTTTCAAGAACTCAAAACATAGTTAAACTGTTTGTATCATAAAAAGTGGGCTCATTTGTGCACATGCGCAGATCGGACTGTAGATCACCTTTAAAAGCAGCCTAAAACTAACGATGTTTATTTAATTAAGTGTGGCAGACAATCATTGTTTTTGACATACTTTTGCACTTATGTGTTCAGTGTGAATATATATAGAACAACCAATCTCGTTCCCCAAGCCTGCGATCCTCGGGAAGGAACGTGAGGTTCTGGGATAATCCGTTTCAGGGAGGAATCTGATTGGCCGTTGAAATGGAATGCGTAGTTCAATCTTGGCCAGGATTCCTGGCTTCCGGCAACGGATTATCCCAGAGTCTCGCGTTCCTTCCCGAGGATCGCAGGCTCGGGGAACGAGATTGTAGAACAACCATCAGGCAGCCTCGTTCCCAGGCTCCAACTTAGACGCGCGAAATCGTGGCGCGACGCAAGCAGTGGAAAACGGCGCAGCAAATCAAAGCGCCTGGGGCGAGGCTAACCATCAGGAGATAGACCGGATAACACTATTAAATAAATTAATTAAATAATGAAACTGAAGTTTTATTAAAAGCATGACCGCGAAAATGGCACAACGTTTAACAAAATGGCCGTGTCATTGAGCATTCATTTCAGGGCATCGCAGGTTCTGTCAAGAAATTTCACGCGTTTTTTTTTAATTTGACTATCTGCAACAAAATAAAGTTCAAATGGTTTGTTTAAATCGAATTATGCATGACACATCACACGATGTTTTGGGCCATTAACCTGTTTTTGCTAAAAAAATTCTGACATTATACAAATCAAAAGTTTGCCGATTAGATATTGCAAAAATACTAAATAATTTAGCAGTTCTCCTCATTAATATTCAGTACAGATCGCTATTTCGAATCTTCAAGCGTGCAGTAAAACATGCTGAAAGTGAAATCCCGCATGGCCATGTGCCATTCTAACTCAACTTGTAACCTTGAGTGTAACAAGTGCGTGCGTGGAAGCAGAATGAGGCCAAATATGGTGATCTTAGGACGTTAGTTTCCTTAAACAATATCAATGTACCATTTAAGGAAAAATGTAGTTATTATCACCGTAAAATTCCACGTCATAAACTAAACGAGAAATATTTTAAGAGCATGTTGGTCGACCATTTGCTCAGTATAGACTTGAAATCATGATGTTCCGCAACTTTTATATTTTGTTCGTTACTCAATTATTGTGCCTCACCATAACAGCCCAGACCGCTGATCTAGCGAGAAAACGGTAGGTAAAAAGTCATTAATGGACAACTTGCATGTTAGACTAAATTTTAATCTAAGCAAAAAGAAGGGAATCAAACACCACAGCTAAAAAAAGATATAGTGAAATTAGTAAAATTGAAAAATTTGGTTGCGAAATGTTGTAAAGCTTGGAATTAAATATAGCCTTGCAAAGTTTGCATATTTTCAGTATGTTTGTATTACGAGCGGAAATTGTTACCATTTTCGGCTCAAAAATGGTAACAATTTCCGCACGTAATACAAATATACTGAAAATATGCAAACTTTGCAAGGCTACATTTTCCAAACTTTACAACATTTCGCAACCAAATGTTGCAATTTTACTAATTTTAATAAGTTCTTTACGGGAATTTACTTTTTTTTTGCCTAGATCAAAAATTTGTCTGACATGCAAGTTGTCTATTCTATAAGCCTTGATTTCTACAAGCATTGTTCTGCGTGTTAACATGAAACGCGCAAGGGTGTGTAGTAGCGAAGTAGTTGTAGTTCGCTACTGTAGCGAACTACAATTTTCAAGTAGCCAGTAGTTTTTGACTACTTTTTTAAAACAGTAGCTGTAGTTATAGCGAACTACATTTTGCCTAAAAGTAGCCAAGTAGTTGACTACTTTTTAAACAGCGAATTGCTATTCGCTACTTTTTAAAATTGTTAGCGACTTGATAGAATAGCATGATATTGAGACACGGTTTGCTTAAAATCAACACTCAATAGTCAATTTGCACTCTTGAACACTGTAGTGCTTACATAAATGTTGCTTTGTGTCTACTGTTCAGTTGCTACTCGTAAGTCGATTTGTTATAGGTTAATTACATTTCAGCCTGAGTTAGTAGATGCTCCAAATACAGTAAAACTAAAAAATATAGCGTAGCGAAATAGCGAATAGTTCGCTACATTTTTTAAGCAGTAGCTGTAGTCAGTAGCGAACTACCTTTGTTCAAAAGTAGCAGTAGTTTTAGCTGACTACATATTTTTGAAGTAGCTGTAGTTATAGCGAACTACAAAAATTTTGTAGTCAACCCACCCTTGGAAACGCGTTCGTACAGTTGAATGTATTACCTAAATTTCAATTAAGGAAATATTGTACAATGTTGTAAATCATTGAGCCAAGCGAGAACCTTTACACACAGGTATCTTGCAAGCTTAACAGATGCCTTTGCGAGTATCAACGCTAAAAATGTGAAAATACACAATAATAACAATTCCTGTTGGAGAAACTCTAACAACGGAAATATCATTACCAGCTATTGCAATTGGAACTGTCCGTACCAGTGTAGGTAGTTCCAATAATATGAACAAGCTTTAGTTGGTATGGATGGAACTACCTGAAAAATATAAGGAAAATTTCTACGTTTTGAGCGAAGGCCCTTCCTCTCGAGTTACTTGGCTAGCTAGTAACTCCAGACGAAGGGCCTTCACTCGAAGCGTCGAAATTCTCCTTATATTTTTCAGGTAGTTGCATCCCTACCAACGAAAGCTTGTTCATATTCTAGTTGGAGCGTGTTTTCCTCCAGTCACCAATATTATACTGCAACAGTGACATTTTCATTAAACAGGCGAGCTTTGTCAAGTAAAGGAACTAGTGGATTATGTCAGGGACTTCCGGGACTGCCTGGACGAGACGGTAACGTAAAATTCAAGCTCATTCAAAATTAAATTAAACAACACCTCATTTTCAAAGACGGACCTATAAGCAAAATCGTGACAATATCAATAACAGATAATTCACCACGCCCCAAATACACTCATTTTGTCGAAAAAGTAGTAAGACCTGAATATGCAGGGACGTACGGGGGGGGGGGAGGAGGCGGGGGTAGCGGTCAAATTACCTGATTTGTTTTAAATTACATTTTACCTTTATAACCTGATTTTTCATTTTTAGCACAATCGTACGGGATACAAAACTATTAGGGAGATTTGGGGGAATACTTTCTGGAGAAAATTGAATATCTTGACCCTCAAATCAGCTAAGTCATCTCTAAATTTTCCAGAAATTACCCATTAGCAAATACCTCACCCCCCCCACCCCCGGTCGATACAACCCTGTGCACTTCCTAATTGTGATAAGCTCGTTACACCCCCTTCTGTAGTGAACCTTTATAGGTTGTATTATACGTATTGACCAGAGGGTTTCACTTTCATACTTCAGGAAATTCTAAACGTTTGAAGTTCAAATTCAAGTCCTTTAACAATCTGCCCAACTACATGCAGATGCTTGGCGCCATTATGTACTCAACTTCTATATGCAATCTCGTTGATATTTTGTGTTTTTATTTTTTTGGTCAGGACGTGATGGCCGCGACGCGACACTTATCGGTAAGATACCCCAACGTGATTGGCTGATTTGTGGTCACGTGGCTTTATATAAATGCAATGTATCCTCCGGACAACAAGTGAGACTCTCAGGAAAACAAAACAAAACTATTTCCCCCGGGAGACATTAAGCGTATAATATTTTTTACAGGTATTATGGATTTCATATCTGAAAAATTTCAAAGAATAAACTCTAAATTGTAATCGTACTCATTAATACGAGCTTTTCTGCAATCTGATTGATTGATTGATCTATTCGCCATGTATCAGCTCATACACGGGGATTAGCGCAAAAACTGCAAAATGTTGCCGAAACACTCCTAAATATCTTTTTAACAAATTACCATACATGTCTAGTAAACATTTAAATGACAAGTTTCTTATGAGAATATAAGTTGTTTGGAGAAAATCGTAACAAGAAACAAATAAAGTCGCAGTCAACAAGTACTTACAGTCAAAACGGATGTTCTCGTGCGGGCAACATTGCAATATTGTCCCAAAATATTGCAATTCTGATACGCAGATTGCTCTGAACAATTTGCAAGCGATGCAAACAAATTAAATTGCCGGTTGAAATTCACAAAAGATTTGTAAACAAATCCTCTGATTAGACTATTAGCTAAAAGGAAGCCAATCAAATACTCCGGGCAACTGGATTGGAGTTTCCTTTTTTCTTATGGTCCAATCAGAGGCTTTGTTTACAAATCATTTGTGAATTTCAACTGGCAATTTGTTCTATCAAAGAGTCCTGATCAACCACAATGCAATGTGCGCATTTGTTAACGTTTTCCCGTTACTTTTATCAATTGTTGCCGCCATTTTCGAGGCCACACAAAATGGCTGCCTCTGGCCCACAACGTAACAGAAGCGTAAACAAACGCACGCATTGCATTGTGGTTGACCAGGACTCTATAAAATTACAAAATTGTGGGACAATATTGCAGTGTTGCTCGCCAGAGAACATCAGGTTTGACTGTAATTTGCTACAAAACATCAATATTAAATAAAATATCTTAAGGTTTATATCAGCAAATACTGTTCTAAAACCGTTTATCTCATTTAAGTTTTAAAACAGAGTCATTAAAAATTCTCAGGCCAAGTTGCGACACGGATTTGTGGCCTAACAAACCAGCTATCAAACTATTGCAACAGAGTCAGAGAAGAGTGTATTTATGTGTAGTGTATTTCGCTGCAGTGAAATTAGTGACTATAAGACCATGTCATAAATAATTATATCGTTTGCTCTTGTCGTATATTGCCGATTGACTACTCAGTACTCGCATTTTGAATCTGCTACTTGAACTGACTCGGTACTACGCCTCTCGTTAGCTACCAATCAGCTTGATCTCATGGTTATGTATTTGAAACGTTAATTGCTAATTATAAAATCAGTCGTCAAAAATATATTTCATTTTCTAAGGTCCGCCAGGAAAGCGAGGTGAACCTGGACCGACAGGGACACAAGGGGTAAAAGGGAACTCAGGAGGTGTAGTGTACACTCGGTGGGGAAGAAGTGACTGTCCGCAATCTGGCAACACAACCATGTTGTATTCAGGTAACTGGTTTTCAAATACTTACTAAAGGAGATGTATAACAAATTCAACAATTATCATTTTTGATATTAATACCAGTGCTGTAGAAGTAGAGGGGTTGCTTTGGGGGTCCCCCTTCTTTAAGTTATGGGGGGAGGCTGAGCCCCCATCTACTTTGGAAAATCGATTAATATACATAATATTATCGTTAGTGTTTTGAAAATCATTCATGAGTTGTTGTAGCGGACTCATTTCCTCGCAGTCTTTAATTTTTCAACCGCCGAGCCCGAGCGTCACGTTTATCGATATGTGTGTGTGTTTATAAGTCTATTCCAGGCATAAAGGTCCTATTCCAAAGCTGCTTAAGACGTATGCCACGGACTTATTATGAGTTATGGTCTATAACTAAAGCTACGTTCACAAGCTACGATTAATCGTGTACGATTCGTATTCTGGCGTATTAAAATGAGTCAGTGGCGCCATAATTAATTGCCGTTTCGTTAAAAAGAAATTTCAAATATACCCAGATTACGCGTGTTTATTCGATGACATGCGCCAGAAAACGAATCGTACACGATTAATCGCAGCGTGTAAACGTAGCTTAACTACGAGTCATCTCAGTCATGAGCTGTGAATATCTATGACGTCATACGATGACGTCACATATTTTTGTACGATTTCACTGCTTCACGCTCGTCAAGAGAGCCCCCCTCTGGTAAATTTAGTTGAACAGCACTGATTAAGATACTTATACGTAGATACAGACTACTCCGCGAGTATATATCTTTCGTTAAGTGTGTATGACTGGATTGTGTTGACTATTACATTTGTGATAAAGGAATTAAAAGTAATGTAAAATTATAGCCTGAAGTTCAAGAGTCTCTTAAGAATTTACATGTGTTTCCTTGCACACAATTCTGGGAGGCTGGACTGACAGGCTATTCCAGATTTTTTCATTACTGTTATCATTTTTAACATGAAAATGAACCGTCAAAAAGTATGTTATATCCAGGTAATTGGTTCTAAAAAAGGTATGCATGAAAGGTATGCATATTTATATCACTGATATATGTAGCAAGACGGCCTGTGTCCTTTTTTGGCTCGTTAATTATTAGTTTTAACTGATCCATTGTTATTTTGCAATATGTTATCAGACGCGCATAACTGAATATATTAAGTTCCGTTTTTATACATACCTCTACACTGAAACTGACGACTTTCAATTCTGAATTATCATCATCGATGTTATATAGGTGTGGTGGGTGGATCACATTATACACATACCGGTGGTGCTTCAAACTATCTCTGTTTGCCATTGAATCCAATATTTGACAAAATCACTCCAGGAACTCAAGGATACAGCTATATGTACGGTACAGAGTACGAATCATCCTCTCATACCAACATGTTTCCCCAAAACGTCTTTGATCATGATGCACCTTGCGCAGTCTGCTACACCGAGTCACGTGGCAGTCACCTGATGATTCCAGCTCGTAATGTCTGTCCCTCAGGTTGGACCTTGGAGTATAAAGGTTATCTCATGTCAGCTTTTCATGGCCACAAAGGAAGAACCCAGTTTATTTGTGTTGACGGGAATGCTGAAGCTACAACTGGATCTCACAGTGATCAAAATGGTGCACTACTGTATTTTGTTGAAAGTCAATGTGGTTCTCTTCCTTGCCCACCATACGGCAATGGTAAAGAATTGACCTGTGTCGTTTGCACTAAATGACCCAATTGACCTCATCTGAGAATACTGGCTTTTTAAGAAACATTTTACCTTGACTATCTTTGGTATGCCGTTATTTCTTGTAACCGAACATTTATTTCTAAACTCAATGTAATCGCAGACTTTTGTCAATAAAATTGCGTTGTTTTTCAACATGATCTTCTGATCTGCAACGAAAATGACCCAGGTTTTACAAACCATGGATTTGGGATTATATTATTTAACAAAAAACAGAAATTTCAGTTTAAAGTCCTATGGGGGCGGAGAGCTAGCTCAAAGAATGACATAGACAACTCTGGACTATACTCATTGGACTCACAGGGGGCGATGCTTCTAATTACGTATGTTTGACACGTGACCCGATTTATTCAAGATATCAATCTTTTCAAGATATCGAGATTTTCAAACAAAATTTGGACTAGTATCAAATTAAGATTAGATTAGGGTCAGATTAAGATTATATGGTTAGGGTTACAGGTTTGGGGTTAGATGCTGGGGGGGGTTAGGGCTCAACCTGTGTCGCGAATTTATCATATTGATAAATTCGGACGTGTTTAATTATATAGTAAATTCAAAGGTGGAGCTCATGCTGTATCAGAGATACTCCACTGGCATTTATCCCGCGAGTAGCCTACAAGACCATAATGTCGCTTACGCTGTGTGTCGTGTGACCAAAATTGCTCCACAAATTACCGAAATCAAACTCTTTAATAAAAGATATATCATGTTACTAGCGAGCAGCCCTCCAATTGTAACGCTATATACTCAAAATTTGTAGTTTTCTCATTTTGCACTTCATACGTATGATTACATGCGGAGCATAAAAGTTGGCTCACGGAGCATCTTATAACGGTATTTTGATCGATATTCATCGCATTTTCCCCTCGAACTTTGGAGATTATAAATTTGTCAACTGCATGGGACATTCCGTTGCAAAATTAGTCTCTGTTTTAGACGACGAAAGAGAGAGATCTTTGACTATATACGTGCAGTGTATGTGCTATTACAACATTATACCCATAGATATCTTATATACACTAGATACAGCGCATCTCTCAGTTTTAGTAAAATTGTTGCCAAGAATATTGCAGCGGTTACCCCCATTTGAATAGATGGCGGCCATGTTGAAGTTTCCCACTCGCTAATAAACACTTAAAAAACAACAATAACTTTCATCATTTGAATAGTTTGAAAATGTATTTGGAATAGGTTTAACTAAATGTTTAAGTTCCCTGTTTAAGAAATAGAA